AAAAAAATCGTACCAACGTGTTCTAAAAAGTCTTTAAGAACTTGCATTGGAGCCCGTTGAATGGCAGCCAAGCAGACTGCCAGCCTAAGTCGGAAGACCCCATCATCTCCGGACTGCTCGAGGCTGAAGTTGCTGGGTAAAGGTAATGGCAAACGTGATGCAAAGGTGACAGAAACACCAAATGCAGTTTCGGATGTGAAAAAATGCATACATGTGTCTTCTGTAGCCTCCGGAATCTGGTGCAAACACTTCAATTTGCTGATGCTGATCGCACCCGCCTTATCCTCTATCGACGATGAAGTTAAGCCGATTTTGCATGCTCTGATTGGCCAGACCAAACTTTCTCAGCAACCGCCAAACACCCATGTGGTTTTTTCACAAGAGTCTGGTAAAAGATACAGCTTGACTACAGACAAGCACTCGATCCACCGTCAATCAACCATAACGGAAGACAACCTGAACGTCAGGTTGGGTGGGAGGCTATGTTGCTCTGACAACCGGGAAACAGATGTGTAATGGCCCATAAGATGAGTACTCGTCATTAAGCCAACGGACTGTATGTGACAAAGATGGGGCCTAATTTTCCATTCCAACATTTTACTCGCATTGATGCAGTTTTGCTAGTCAAAAATCGAATTCATTTAATATGGATTTTAGGCAAAAGGAATACAACTCAACTTCATTAAAACTCACATGTGAAGTTTCAGTTTAACTTGTCTGCCAGGCTTTTTAAAGTAAAGTGTTCTATCAAAGTTTGAGCGAAAGTATACTGAATATATTTACAATAATTAGCATTTATGCGCTAACTACGTCAGAACCGTCAGGTTTAAATGGTATAAAGAGAGATCGCATAGATCCGAGGTTTGATCGTCGCGTGAGCAAAGGGGAACACAATTTAAGTCTCATCGAATCTGATATTGAGATCCGTGCGGGGTTGAAACCGATAAAATATATCACTTGACCGGAACACACTAATCTGCTTGAATTGGAAAAGTATGGTGCATAAATAGATTGTGATGACTCGATTGGCCCGGGACTTCATACATCTTTGCGCATAAATGCATGACTAGATTAACTGGATCATTATGTGTGGTCAGCTCACAACCAACAATAGTCAGTTTATAGAACCTCCCGTTAGGAGATAGGCAATCCGCTGTCTATTGGCAGTATGTCCATCTTCTAGACTACTCTTGGATAAACACAGTCTTATATACGAAGAAAAGTTGGGTTTCGAGGAATCTCTTGTTTCATAATTGTTGGGATTACTTCCATT